GGGGATTTGGGTGGGAAAAGGGGATTTGGGTGGGAAAAGGGGATTTGGGTGGGAAATGGGGGGATTTGGGTGGGAAAAGGGGATTTGGGTGGGAAAAGGGGATGTGGGTGGGAAAGGGGGGTTCAGGTGTCGCCCCCAGCCCCAATTGTTCCTCTCCCCCTCTCGGGCTCTTTTCCCAAATTCCCCCTTTTCCTCCCCGCCCCCCATTCCCAAAGTCCCGTTTTTGGGGGGCTGCTGCCAGGGCTGGCCGTGTGCCCCCTCCCCAGCTCCGTGCCCCCCTGCAGGTGGTCCCGTGCCCGGGGACACGGCGGCGCTGGGACCCCCGGGGACCCTCCCCAAGCCCCTCCCCAAGGCCCTCCCCAAGGCCCCGCCGGGCGAGAGCGGAGCCCCCACGGTGAGCAGCCCCCAGCCCCAAAAATCCGGGCTGGGACCCCAAAACATCTAGGGTAGAAACCCCAGAATTCTGGGATGGGACCACAGAATTCCAGGGTGGGACCCCCAAAAATCCAGGGTGGGACCCCCAAAAATCCTGGGGTGGGACCACCAAAAATCCAGGGTAAAAGCCCCAAAATTCTGGATGGGGCCCCCAAAAAATCCTGGGGTGGGACCCCCAAAAATCCAGCGTGGGACCCCCAAAATTCCAGGGTGGGACCCCCAAAAAATCCTGGGGTGGGACCCCCAAAAAATCCTGGGATGGGATCACCAAAAATTCTGGGATGGGACCACAAAATTCCAGGGTGGGACCCCCAAAAATCCTGGGATGGGATCCCAAAAATCCTGGGATGGGACCACAGAATTCCAGGATGGGACCCCCAAAAAATCCTGGGATTGGACCCCCAAAATTCCAGGGTGGGACCCCCAAAAAATCCTGGGATGGGACCTCCAAAATTCCAGGGTGGGACCCCCAAAAAATCCTGGGTGGGACCCCCAAAATCCTGGGATGAGACCTCCCAAAATCCTGTGATGGGACCCCCAAAATTCCGGGGTGGAACCCCCCAAAAATCTGGGATGGGACCCCCAAAAATCTGGGGTGGAGCCTCCAATAACAATGGGATGGGCTTCCCCCCAAATTCCAAGATGGGACCCCAAAATCCCAGAGTGGAACCCCCCAAATTCTGGGATGGGACCCCCAAATTCTGGTAGTTTCCTGAACCCCTCCCAGATGCCCCCCT